TTAGACCTGAGTGCAAAAATGGAGGCTCTAGCCCCTTCCAGAGCTGAGATATCGAAACTCAAAAATTCGGCCCGAAAAAAAAAACGACAGTGGTACCCTTACGTTTTTTTTTTGGGGCGAAAATTAAGTTTCTCCAATCTTCCCAAAACTGGATTCTGATAGAGGGCCATGAGACTTAGACCTGAGTGCAAAAATGGAGGCTCTAGCCCCTCCAGAGCTGAGATATCGAAACTCAAAAATTCGGCCCGAAAAAAAAACGACAGTGGTACCCTTACGTTTTTTTTTTTTGGGGCGAAAAATTAAGTTTCTCCAATCTTCCCAAAACTCTGGATTCTGATAGAGGCCATGAGACTTAGACCTGAGTGCAAAAATGGAGGCTCTAGCCCCTTCCAGAGCTGAGATATCGAAACTCAAAAATTCGGCCCGAAAAAAAAAACGACAGTGGTACCCTTACGTTTTTGTTTTTTTTTTTTCGGGCGAAAAATTAAGTTTCTCCAATCTTCCCAAAACTCTGGATTCTGATAGAGGCCATGAGACTTAGACCTGAGTGCAAAAATGGAGGCTCTAGCCCCTTCCAGAGCTGAGATATCGAAACTCAAAAATTCGGCCCGAAAAAAAACGACAGTGGTACCCCTTACGTTTTTTTTTTTTGGGCGAAAAATTAAGTTTCTCCAATCTTCCCAAAACTCTGGATTCTGATAGAGGGCCATGAGACTTAGACCTGAGTGCAAAATGGAGGCTCTAGCCCCTTCCAGAGCTGAGATATCGAAACTCAAAAATTCGGCCCGAAAAAAAAAACGACAGTGGTACCCCTTACGTTTTTTTTTTTCGGGCGAAAAATTAAGTTTCTCCAATCTTCCCAAAACTCTGGATTCTGATAGAGGGCCATGAGACTTAGACCTGAGTGCAAAAATGGAGGCTCTAGCCCCTTCAGAGCTGAGATATCGAAACTCAAAAATTCGGCCCGAAAAAAAAAAACGACAGTGGTACCCCTTACGTTTTTTTTTTTGGGCGAAAAATTAAGTTTCTCCAATCTTCCCAAAACTCTGGATTCTGATAGAGGGCCATGAGACTTAGACCTGAGTGCAAAAATGGAGGCTCTAGCCCCTTCCAGAGCTGAGATATCGAAACTCAAAAATTCGGCCGAAAAAAAAAACGACAGTGGTACCCCTTACGTTTTTTTTTTTTGGGCGAAAAATTAAGTTTCTCCAATCTTCCAAAACTCTGGATTCTGATAGAGGGCCATGAGACTTAGACCTGAGTGCAAAAATGGAGGCTCTAGCCCCTTCCAGAGCTGAGATATCGAAACTCAAAATTCGGCCCGAAAAAAAAAACGACAGTGGTACCCCTTACGTTTTTTTTTTCGGCGAAAAATTAAGTTTCTCCAATCTTCCCAAAACTCTGGATTCTGATAGAGGGCCATGAGACTTAGACCTGAGTGCAAAAATGGAGGCTCTAGCCCCTTCCAGAGCTGAGATATCGAAACTCAAAAATTCGGCCCGAAAAAAAAACGACAGTGGTACCCCTTACGTTTTTTTTTTTGGGCGAAAAATTAAGTTTCTCCAATCTTCCAAAACTCTGGATTCTGATAGAGGGCCATGAGACTTAGACCTGAGTGCAAAAATGGAGGCTCTAGCCCCTTCCAGAGCTGAGATATCGAAACTCAAAAATTCGGCCCGAAAAAAAAACGACAGTGGTACCCCTTACGTTTTTTTTTTTGGGCGAAAAATTAAGTTTCTCCAATCTTCCCAAAACTCTGGATTCTGATAGAGGGCCATGAGACTTAG